TGCAGAGACCCTCCCAGACCCTGGGGACCTGCTTTCCCCTCGCTGCCAAGTGCCATCTCCCCTCAAAGACCCAACTTGAGAGTGTCCGTCTCCGTCAAACCTTCCGAAGCAAGATGAGGCGGCTCCCAGGTCCCCCGAGGGTCCCTGGCCCCGTCCCCCTTCGGGGCGCCAGCGTTCACGCCCCGAGTTTGTCCCTGCGCCTCTGGGTGCCCGGAGCTGGGCTATTGTGAGAGGGAAGCAGAAAGATGAGTCAGCGAACCCCTGCCTGTAAGACTTTTCCGTCGTAGCTGCAGAGAACACATTGGATGGTCACAGATGGGAGGGCGGGTGGGAGCGGGTGAGAACAGCTACTGGATTAGAAAGTGCAGACGGTCAGTTCTAAGAATAGTCACGGGGCGTGCAGACCAGCAGCCGGAACAGTCGCTAATGGGGTAGTAATTAGGTGTGGTGCCAGGTGGGTCCTGGATGTCAGGTGATCACTTCATAAGTCAGAGCGATGTCTAATCATATGGCGTCCACCTGAAGCGGATGTAATAGTGTACGTCAACTGCACTCAAAAAATAAATGTAAAAATTAAAAATAAAGACTTTTCCAATCTAGGAAACAAAATGTAAGTAGTGTTTGATAATTATCTCAGTGAGAGGCTTTTTAAAGTCAAAGAGGAGGGGTTAGTCCTTGAACAATGATTTTCAGGTGGGAGACCAGGGAAGTCTATAAGCCGGTACACATACTTACCTATTTTCTCACAAAGAGATACACCTCATTTTCTTCTTTTAAGGACAAAATTCTATGTACCAAATAAACACCTTGTATCATTACCAGGATTTAAAGATGATGAATTAGACCATAGAATGAACTAGAGCCTGAACTTAGACTTCATTTGTGGAAGCGTTTGCAGTGGGTGAGGGGGGAGCATTGTTGAGGACACCTGTAGCTATTTTGTGCTTTTAGCAAAGGAGTGTGGGTGTAGCGGCCTCTGACTGTACCATGTGATGCTCTGATTCTGTGCGTGAGGGTCTCGGAGAAGAATTCCGAGTTACACCCGGAAGGAATCCTCGGCCACTTCACAGACACTGTGAAGGCCAGCACCATGCAGAACCCTTGTGGAGAGAATCTCACGCATAAAGGGTTTCTCTGACCTGAACTACAAGGGTCTGGGGGAGGCTCCCCCTCGGTGAACGCCTAGTGCGCTCAGGCGTCGCCTAAACTCTAGATGTGCCACCCGATGTGTCCACAGCGGCCCGTGGGGCACCCGGCCCCCACTGTGAGGAGCCCAGTGCACCAGCTATGCGTCCACCCACAGCGTCGCTGGGAGAAGGAAGCAGCAAACCGCAGGCCTGCGCAGGAGGCCGCCTCTGGGTGGACCTCCTGGCCTTCCCTGGGAGAACACTTCCTCTCCCGACGGTTTAGCTGGCAATGCGTGCCTCCTGTGTGGTCAGACGGTAGCATGGAGCTGTGCGCCTCTCCCTGGCGCCCTGGGTGCTGGGGGCTCGCTCTGTGGAAACCCCGTGTCCCCGCAGTAGCCCACCGTGAGCCGCCTTTCTGCTCGCTTCCCTGCAGGTTGTAAAATCCCAGCCTCTGGGAGTGATCAGATGCTAAGTTACTGTGGGGTTTTGCTTGAGTGTCAATGTGTGTACTCTTCAAAGCCATTATATTGATTTCTGGTCAGTAGTACAGTTCATATATCATAGACCTTTCTTTTTCGTATATGTATATTTTTTTAATTGATTTCAGAGAGGGAGAGAGAGAAACATCAATGATGAGAGAGAATCATTGATTGACTGCCTCCTGCACGCCCCCTACTGAGGATTGAGCCTAGAACCCAGGCAAGTGCCCCACTGGGAATGGAACCGTGACCTCCTGGGTCCTAGGTCGGCGCTCACCCGCGGAGCCCCGCCGGCCGGGCCCGCAGACCTTTCTTGGATCCCTCGATCCTTGAGCCGTTGCTCTCGTTCATAGAGCCCTGTGTCACCCGACTGTGTTTTCCCTCCCACAGTTGTTCTCCGCCTCTGCGTGGCCTTCAACGTGGACGTGAAGAATTCGCTGACCTTCAGCGGCCCCGTGGAGGACCTGTTCGGCTACACTGTGCAGCAGTACGAAAACGAGGAAGGCAAATGGTAAGCCAGGCGGTGGGGTGTAGTCGTGGAGTTTCCCGACAAGGTCCCGAAAGCTCTCACTGGGCCAGCTGGATGACGGAGGTTCGGCAGGATGACCCGCTGACCGCCGAGGTGCAGTCGGTCACTGGGCTCCAGCTGGGTGACGGAGGTTCGGCAGGATGACCCGCTGACCGCCGAGGTGCAGTCGGTCACTGGGCTCCAGCTGGGTGACGGAGGTTCGGCGGCAGGATGAGCTGACCGCCGAGGTGCAGTCGGTCACTGGGCTCCAGCTGGGTGACGGAGGTTCGGCAGGATGACCCGCTGACCGCCGAGGTGCAGTCGGTCACCCGGTGATGGAACCTGACAGAGTGACACAGGAAAACGGTCTTGGAGACATTAAAGGAAGTGAGGCGATCGTTTTTTTTCCTCTTAGAGAGGGAGAGGGAGAGAAAGAACAAGGACCTCCTCTGGGTTGACGTCCAGGAAAGTCCTTGTCCAAACAGTCTTCGTCCTGTAGTGATGTGGTTATGGCGAGAGCACTTTCATTGTCCCTATAGAGGCGCTGGCACGCAGGGGAGAGACCGGGGGCAGGTGAGGTGCTTCCCTTGAGGGGTGAACGTTGCTTCCACGGTGGAATATCGGGCTTATGTTGGGCGTTTTCCGGAACTGCTGAGTTTGGTCTACGAATTGTAATGAGCCTTCCTGAATTTCTATCACATACTTTTAAACACGGGAATATTGGTGGAGTGCACTACAGGTATGATTTGTAGGCCCTTTTAAAAGTTAGGTCACATTTAGGTGTGCAGCATCATCATGCGACGTCTGTAAACACCACAGAATGATCGCCTCCCCTGGCCGGGGTGGCTCAGGGCGTTGGGCGTTGTCCCTGGACCCGGAGGTGGCCGGTTCGATTCCCAGTCGGGGCCCAGGCCCAGGGTGCGGGCTGGATCCCCAGTCGGGGAGCCTGCTGGAGGCAGCCAATCGATGTTACACTCTCCCAACGACGTTTCTCTCTCTCCCTCTCTCTCTTCCTCTCTCTCTAAGAAGAAAAAAATGATCACCTGCAAAAGTCTAGTTACCATCCATGGCCATGCAGTTGATCCCACACCCTTTTGCCCACCCCAATCCTCTTCCCCTCTGGTAACCACAGGTATGTTCTCCTTGTCCTGCTCTTATCACAGAAGAATAATGAATAATAATAATAACTAAAGAGGGCAGGAGGAAACCTTTAGAGGTGATGGACATGTTTATGGCACAGACTGTGATGGCTTTATCTCCAAACTCGTCCAGTTGTATACATTAAAATTATACAGCTTTGTATATTTATTCTTATTTCAGTAAAGTACTTCTAAATAAAATAAAATAAAATAAAAAGTTACTCCCCCAGGGAAATGGAATCACTTAGGGCCAGAGCTGAAAATACAACTCTGGTCTCTCCACGCCCAGCCTGGTGCTTTTTCTCCAGTAAAACTACATTGAATAGTGACTGCTGACAATACTGTCTTTGCAGCACCACACGCTCCTTATCGATGCGTGGGAGGCTTTGTGAGCACTGACTGTATATGGGTGTCAGACACTTTAATTCCACTTCCCTCGCTACCACACTTGTCTTGTGCTCCGTCTTCTCACTTGCAGAGACCCTCCCAGACCCTGGGGACCTGCTTTCTCCTCGCTGCCAAGTGCCATCTCCCCTCAAAGACCCAACTTGAGAGTGTCCGTCTCCGTCAAACCTTCCGAAGCAAGATGAGGCGGCTCCCAGGTCCCCCGAGGGTCCCTGGCCCCGTCCCCCTTCGGGGCGCCAGCGCTCACGCCCCGAGTTTGTCCCCGCGCCTCTGTGTGCCCGGAGCTGGGCTATTGTGAGAGGGAAGCAGAAAGATGAGTAAGTGAACCCCTGCCTGTAAGACTTTTCCGTCATAGCTGCAGAGAACACATGGATGGTCACCAGATGGGAGGGCGGGTGGGAGCGGGTGAGAACAGCTACTGGATTAGAAAGTGCAGACTGTCAGTTCTAAGAACAGTCACGGGGCGTGCAGACCAGCAGCCGGGACACAGTCGCTAATGGGGTAGTAATTAGGTGTGGCGCCAGGTGGGTCCTGGATGTCAGGTGATCACTTCATAAGTCAGAGCGATGTCTCATCATATGGCGTCCACCTGAAGCGGATATAATAGTGTACATCAACTGCACTCAAAAGATAAATGTAAAAATTAAAAATAAATTAAAGACTTTTCCAATCTAGGAAACAAAATGTAAATAGTGTTTGATAATTATCTCTGTGAGAGGCTTTTTAAAATCAAAGAAGAGGGGTTAGTCGTTGAAAGATGATTTTCAGGTGGGAGACCAGGGAAGACTATAAGCCGGTACACATACTTATCTATTTTCTCACAAATAGATACACCTCATTTTCTTCTTTTAAGGACAAAATTCTATGTACCAAATAAACACCTTGTATCATTACCAGGATTTAAAGATGATGAATTAGACCATAGAATGAACTAGAGCCTGAACTTAGACTTCATTTGTGGAAGCGTTTGCAGTGGGTGAGGGGGGAGCATTGTTCAGGACACCTGTAGCTATTTTGTGCTTTTAGCAGAGGAGTGTGGGTGTAGCGGCTCTGACTGTACCATGTGATGCTCTGATTCTGTGCAGGAGGGTCTCGGAGAAGAATTTTGAGTTACACCTGGAAGGAATTCTCGGTCACTTCACAGACACTGTGAAGGCCAGCACCATGCAGAACCCTTGTGGAGAGAATCTCACGCATAAAGGGTTTCCGTGACCTGAACTACAAGGGCCTGGGGGAGGCTCCCCCTCGGTGAACGCCTGGTGTGCTCAGGCGTCGCCTAAACTCTAGATGTGCCACCCGATGTGTCCACAGCGGCCCGTGGGGCACCCGGCCCCCACTGTGAGGAGCCCAGTGCACCAGCTATGCGTCCACCCACAGCGTCGCCGGGAGAAGGAAGCAGCGAACCGCAGGCCTGCTCAGGAGGCCGCCTCTGGGTGGGACCACCTGGCCTTCCCTGGGAGAACACTTCCTCTCCCGACGGTTTAGCTGGCAATGCGTGCCTCCTGTGTGGTCAGACGGTAGCATGGAGCTGTGCGCCTCTCCCTGGCGCCCTGGGTGCTGGGGGCTCGCTCTGTGGAAACCCCGTGTCCCCGCAGTAGCCCACCGTGAGCCGCCTTTCTGCTCGCTTCCCTGCAGGTTGTAAAATCCCAGCCTCTGGGAGTGATCAGATGCTAAATTACTGTGGGGTTTTGCTTGAATGTCAATGTGTGTACTCTTCAAAGCCATTATATTGATTTCTGGTCAGTAGTACAGTTCATATATCATAGACCTTTCTTTTTCGTATATGTATATTTTTTAAATTGATTTCAGAGAGGGAGAGAGAGAAACATCAATGATGAGAGAGA